GAACGAACCCATTAAGAATGTGTGTGATATATAATGTGCAACTGCCTTCTGATCATACATTTGGGCTATAAATTTTTGGTTTGGCTTTACACGAGAGTCGCAAATTGTCTATTATGCAATATATCAGTTATGGTTTCTTGTCCCTCAAATGGCTTAGAAGATATGCGAGTCCTGCGCACCAAATCATGCACAGTTTGGTAGCTAATAAAAAGTTAGAAGTGAACTCGTGCACGAGCCAATACTTGTATTTCATGCCATGACCACATCAAATATATGTCTTGGGGCACGGCATTGGTTGTTGCCATATGTCTAGTCAGACTCATTTCATCTCATCCTTTATGAAAGCACATTCAAATATATATATATTGGTGAACCTTATGCTTTGCGCTCATCTTGACTTATTTACGACAGGTGATGTACTCTTTTCTTGATCGACTCATTAATCTGGGGCTTCCTAGGACGAGGGATTTTCAAGGCGTGAGCTCCAATAGCTTTGATGGGAATGGAAACTACAGCATTGGCTTCCGTGAGCAGAGCGTTTTCCCGGAGATAAGTTATGATATACTCGGTAAGCCACGGGGAATGGATGTTTGCATATCCACAATAGCTAATACAGATAAAGAAGCCCATAAATTACTTGCTCTTATGGGAATGCCATTTAGAGAAGGTGGTGGTGGCCCTACAACCGTGGTACGGAAGAAAAAGCTTAAATCTCACCATTTTGACTCGAAGTCGAAATCAAGGCAAAGAACCCAGAAGAGGTAAACCTCGTATTTTGTCAAGGAACCAAGAGCCCGTTTATGTTAATTGTAAAATAATATTTGGTTAGTTTCTGACGATAATGTTGTTCATATGTATTTAGCTAGTTTTTCCCAAAATTTCAATTCTATAATTTTGAAATTTATGCGTTTTGATCATTGAGAGGCTCTTTAACTTCTAGTTTACAAAATTCGTTCCACCGTTACATTTACGCCAAGGACCCTCAATTCAACATTAGGTCAAATTGATCTTAGCATTCTTTGCTTATCGGATTTTGTTACAGATTAAACAAATAATTTGTATTATCAAGAGCAATTAATAACGTGAAATAAGAAAAATATAAGCAAGAATAACACACGATATAATGTACTTCATCTCCTATGTAAAAGTTGGTCACATTAGGTGTAGCTGTTGAATTGCACGAAATCGAAAACGTTTTGGATTCACGCCTCTTTTCTTTATACTACGATACACAAAAAATGGAGGCTCGCCCTTAATACCTTTCATCTAGGAAAGTACCCCTAAATAAAATATTAAGTCAAATGGCAGTTGAGCAAAAACGTACAATATATTAGAATACACATCCAATAATTTTGACACCAACGATAATCAAATTATCCACAGGTAATTCACGGTATACCACCTAAATTCAAGTGGCAAGTACAGTAAGGTGGACTCTCAACACAATGAAAAGAGAGAGAGAAGAAAAAAAATGTTGAAGTCCCATTCTGTTATATTGTCTAGTTCAGCACATCAAACATGCACGAGGAAACGCCATTTTTGCTAAGTCAGCACAATACAGATGTAAAAGAATTACTAACACAAGCTTCCAACAAGAAATCTAAAATCTACCTTTGATTGGCTCATCTCAACAGGAAAAAACTCACTTCAACTCCTTTTCACAACATTCACTACAAAGATAATATGATCAACATAAGGTTGTAAAACCTAATAACAATGTTCACTCCTTTTTGGGGAATTTTATGTGTTTAATACAGATTCCTCAGGGTATTCTTTTCGGACAACATCATACAATGACATTCCTCAATGAGTTGGGTCCGGGTTAAGTTTGACAGATTCCATCCAGATGAGCTCCTTTATATTCTCTTCAGTGAATGACGGCTGCTCAAAATCGAACACGAAAGGCTGAGGGCAAACAGGCTCCTCGTTGATTTCATGAAGAGGCGCCAAGTATGGATGACAAAGAGCCTCATCAACTACAATGCAACAAATAAAGAATCGAACATTAGTCAAACGAATAAGCCCAAAAATAAATAAATAAATAAAATAATAATAATCATGGATTTCCCATAACATTGAAGAAACTCATTGCAAGATTTTGAGCATGTGTAGCTAAGCTTAGAAAGCTTCCTTATGAGTCTAATTTAAAATTAATAATTCTTTTCATCTATCAAATTTGGAAGTTACTTATATTTTGACAATAAGGTATAAGTTACTTTCATAATAAGTAACTTTTTTTTACTAGAAAGTGAGAAAGTATAACATATCGAAACATGTTTAGAAACAAATAGTTGCTTAAAACATGCTCCTCGAATTCAAAGCAATCAAGATTTGACAGAAATCAATACTATACCGGAAATGCGTTTGCTTGGGTCAAAGACGAGCATTTTTTCAAGTAAATCCAGAGCTCCAGGAGAAGTGTTCGGAAATCTAGCAGAAAATTGTTGCCTTGGATACTGTGGAAGCTGCCTAACATATCTTCGGGCATTATCACTTCTTAGAAACCCGAGACTGGCATCATCAGGTGAACCTATAAGCTTTTAAAACCAAAAGAAAAATTCAATGTCAGGATTAAAACAGAAAGTAAACAAAACCGAAAAAGAGGCTTTGCTATCTGCATATATAAAGGAAATTTAACTGAGAACATGCCTAATGATTTCATATCCACAGAACCTCAAATTTGAGCCAGCCACCACCATTGGGGACTTCACACTTTTGAAGAAGTCGACCACAGGAACCAATTTCTCAAGAGATTGTTTTAGATATAAGATCTAAAGATTCAGATTAAATTTTTACGACCCGATATGTAACATATGATACTTTTCTTAGTGAAGAATGAATCAACCACAGTACTAGTCAGACTACTCTGCAATCAGAAATTCAAGAGGACTATGCAGAAGATTCAGATTAGTAGAACAGATGAAATAGTTAAGAAGACAAGGACAGAGATTAAGTAGTCAAGAAGACAAGGAAAGCGATCAAAAACAGAAGCATATACCAGATAAATGAAAACAAGGGAAGATCTAAATGTTCCGCCACACATATTTTGTAAAAACATCTGTTTCACTGATTTCCAGTAATGAATATGACTTCCCCTAGGGTTTTAATAGTCAACTGCACAAGATGCTCAATTTACGTCTGGTATTTCTCTGTAGACCATACCTCTGTTATAAGTCTCAACTGATGAACATAATCTTTGCCAGGAAATAGTGGCTGTCTTGTCATGATTTCACCAAGTATGCATGCAACTGACCAGATATCAATCGCTGCAGTGTACTCAGAACAATTTAGGAGCAGTTCTGGTGCTCGATACCAGCGAGTGACAACATACTCCGTCATGAAATCAGTCTCAGATGTTGTCCTTGCAAGCCCAAAATCTCCAATTTTCAAATCGCAGTTTTCATTGAGAAGCAAATTGCTGGGTTTAAGATCACGGTGCAAGACATTTGCAGAATGAACATATTTAAGTCCTCGCAGAATTTGATAAAGAAAGTACTGCATCATTCGAATGAAAATTCACTTGAGCTATCACAGTTTTACAAACCAACATGGAAGTGAGACCAATTTACTTGTCCACCGATACACATAAAAGCTATCATGCATGGAAGTAAAAAAGGGCGGGATGCATAAGCAAAGTGCAAATCCATGAAACCTAGTTATGACGCACAGGGGAGTCACTTTATAAACATGGTATTCTACCATTAAGTAAGCAAATTCGAGCATTGTTGATGAATCCATAAACCAAAGAAAAATATAAAGAAGATAGATATGTATAGGATAAAACCATATTTATCTTAACATAGATTATGTATACAAGTTCCCAAAAACTTACACACCACAATGTCATGTTCTCAAGAGTGAAAGAGGGAAAATTGTGGAAACTATTTGGCAAATCAAGCACAGTTATGAAAGGCATAACTTGTATCAAAACAAAAGAGAATAATTAATTAACAGAATTTCTTAAGCTTATGAAAGACATTATACAACCAGGATTTCGTTGAGTTAGTAGCTAGTGATGTTTCGAATTGCCTTCTTTTCCTTCCTACTTTTTACTTGGGACACCGGAAATGGGCATGAAGGGAGATGAACGAGGAAGAAAAGAAAAGTATAAAACCATCCCACATCAGACAAAGTAATGCAGAAGCACCTTCAACGAGTTTACAGATTTCAAATCATTCTTTCCCAGTGAACCATAAAATAAAAATACTAAACCCCTGGTCTCAATGATCTGTCATTATAATATAGTAAATAAAATCTACTATTTGTTATGAGAAAATGAGGCCAAACCCGACAATGATCATCAGCTAATGGTTGGTTGGATCGGATAATCTGGTAAAGATCTGTATCCATTAGTTCATAAACAATGTAGACATCATTGAAGTTCTCCTTTTGTGGAGGCCGAATAATATCTTTAATAGCAATTACCTGTTGATATAAAAAATAAGGAGCCATCAGACGACTTCACCAATGGAACCTTCATGAGAGAATGTTAGGCTCCACCAACAATGAATATTTGAAACCAAGATTTTAACCAATTAACACAAATTAAGGCACTGACAGAAATTGTAAGGCGGTCATGAAATGCCATTAGAATTTTAAATTCCATTTGTGCACGTTTATATAGCCTTGTTTGAGCCCCATTTTTCCATCAAAATATATTCTGAACAGTGATTGGACCCCATTTCAACCACACATTTTTCAATAAAATAATATTACACGCAAAACCAAAACTTTTCCTTATTTTTTAACCACACATTCTCCGTCATAACACTATTACAAAATGTTTTTTTTTTTTTGATAAAAAAAAAAAATGGGGCTCAAACAAGCCCATAATTTGATAGAAGTGTCAGTCTAATTTTCAGTTAACGTAATGACATAGAGGCATTAGGAAGGTTTAAGGTTTTAAATTTCAAGTGAACATTTTTCTCTCTTATACATAAAATCAGCAGATATTGCTCAGGTGATTGTAAATTTCTGCCAGGTAACCAAATTCAATCTTCAGTTAGCTAATTCCAAGTCCATGCGCTGTTCTCAGATCAGTAGTTACGGAAATTTACTGAAATGAAACACTCATCTCTAAGTCAAAAGACTGCAATAAACTTATAAAACAGATAATCAAACACGAGTAGTTAGAGGAAGATTGAATAGTATTGGACAAAACGAAAATGAAGCTCAAATCTTGTTCAGAATATGTCTTGTTCTATCTGGTACTATGTGCCAAACACGCACTAGGGTTCCATCATTACCATAGAGATACATCAACATTATGTAAACCAATTTACTATATGTTAAGTAGAAGATAGCAAATATCATCCAACTGTGAGCAAGATATCAAGCTCAATCAAGATTTAGTAATTACAAACTGATAACTAGCAATACTTACATTATCATGGTCCATGTGGCGTAGAAGTTTTATTTCACGTAACGTCCTCTTGGCATCTATTCTATTGTCAAACGCATTGCCAATCTTCTTAATAGCAACTTCCTCACGAGTCTCCGAGTTTACAGCAGCACTGAATCCAATAAAAAAATCTCATTTTTCTTCAGTGTTAATGAATCATAGGGCAGAAAAGCTCATACAAAAAGGAATTCTAATGTACTCATCATCAGCATTCCAAGAAACAACATATCACTCAAAGTCTTTACAAATATCCAATATGTCAGTGTCCTCTCCAAAAGCACCATTTCTACCACACACGATCATGTATGATGTATAATTTATACTTGAAAGAGAAAAGGACACTCCCTCTATTACATATTTTTCAAATAAGCAGTTCCATCTGTCCCCATGGAGGGTTATCTCCACAAAGACAATTCGATTAACTTATTGTAAAATCTACCGATATTTAACCTTGAATTCTATAATTATACTGCAACGTTCCCCCGGTCTAGAAAAGTAATAACGAAAATGGCTAACCAAGTAGTAGATATGGCACCTGCCACCCCTGGGACTTTCTAACTTCTCTACTAATGGGATCTCCTCCGAAAGTTTTGCAAGATGGGGCAAGGACAAGCATTGAAATTGCTCGTTCTGACATAGATGTATGTCTAAAAAGTTCCAAATATTAGTATTTTTCTGTCATTTATTAGCTAGCACCTTTCCTGGATTTTAATAAGTCTTTTTTTATTAGTCTTAATTGTAAAAAGTGAAAGAGTTAGCTTTACCTTAGACTTATGAAGGAAAGTTAAACTTCAGACAAACTGATTATATAGTTTAAGGTGCAAAATAAACCAGAGGTACCATGACAGAAGCCATGTGATCGCAAAGTCCAGCAAGGAATACAAAGTGCATTAAGAAAATCATGAGTAGCATTTAATTAACTATAGATTCACCCTTAAGTGCCTTACAGTCATCGTTCACCATAAAAATTCATAATGCATGTCACTCTTTAAAGAATTATCAACTTTAATGACTTTAGTTGAAAAACTCCTAGCAACCAAAGCCTCAAATCTGATGCTAAAAAAATATGTACTTCATAGCGAGTCCAATATATTTTTAACTTTCTTCACATAAAAATAAATCAATTATTACAGTTATGATGGTTCTGAATAAAAACATTAACATTTCTATTAAGTTGCCAACAACTTATCAAAAGAATTCATAACTAATTAATAAACCTAAAAATAAACAACCAAAATTCCTTAAATCCCACCAAAATTTTTAATTCTTTTATCATCCATAAACACCAAAATAAACACATTTCATTTCAACAACCAAAAAAATCAAGTTAAAGCAAATAATACCAATGAGCTTAAATTCAAGAAAGCAACACAGATTTTCTTGAATCTCACCAAACAATCCCAGAAGCCCCACGTCCCACAGGCCTGATAGGAACATACTTTCTGGGCACCTCGAAAAGATACCCATAAACATCATACTGCACATATCTTCCACCACGAGTGGGCACTCCTTTGATATTATGGCTCCCATGGCCATGATCCCCTGAACCAGAGCTTGATTCCACAGACATAATAGCCCAAAAAATAAAGTCTTTCTATTTTCCCCCTTTAACAAACCAAGAAAATGGAAAACAAAATCAAGAACCCAATTCAAAAACTTGATTTTTACTCAAGAATTTGCTAGTGTCGGTACCTAGGAAAGAAAAATTAGAGGTTTTTGACATTTCTTAGTAATTTCTGGAGATAGAAAGTCGAGGGAGAGTGAACTTTTGAACTGGACTTGAGATTACCCGTGAAGTCAATTGACTTTTCTGTTAGGTTGGCGTCTATGAATCTCCAACCATACACCTGGATAAAGGTTAAACTTTATGTGTGCACATTTATGATGCATACCGTGGATCGAATGGAGGGCCAGTTATTGAAACATGTTTTGTGTAGATAAGTCCCGGCTTAATTGTTGTTTTTTGGTCAAAACAATTTTTTGAATAGAAATTTTCAGACGAATGTGCGATTAAAAAATAAAAAAAAGTTTTAAATTTACGTGCTACTTGAAAAAAGAGTTTTTAGATAATGATTGTCAAACACAAGCGTAGTTAGGAAGAACGAAGGAATATGTTTATAACCTATCTAATTACACTAGATCACTCGTTATCATCGATAAAAAATTATTCATGTAATTGATTCTTTTTTTATGTTTCTTTTCTTTTATTTCTAGTTAAAGATGCATTTTTAACTGTCTCATGTGAGTTTATATTATATATTTTTAATTAAATAGGCATACAGTCGTTCGGATGGAGGATAAATTAATTGATTAATCGTTGAAATATATTTTCATATATATTTAGTCGTTTAAAAGAGTGATGAGGTGTCAGTATATAAGATGTCTAATGATGTCATTATCTAGCAACGAACCGAACATAGTAACAAAAAATCATTTATGTAATTGACTCTAAATTCAATAGAAATAAAGCTCAGTTTGTGTGTGGGTGTTTTACCTTATTTTCTTAATTACAGTTAATGTTTCTCAATAGTGTGTGTGTGTGTGTTATATTTATAATATAAATACGATGGTTCAAATAGAGGAAATTAATAGAGTGATGACAAGTGATTAAAAAATTGCAATGTCCTTTGGAGTGCTAGGAATAAAAGAGAAAAATATTCATTTTGAATTCTACGAGTAAATTAGAAAAAAAAGACATTGTCAAGATCTTGCATAAATTGGATTCGATCCATAACTTTGCGTGCGCGTGATAGTTTCATTGTTGTACCTATAGTACGAGGGTCTTCAATGACATATAATATGGTGAGAGATTTTGTCCATTACCGAGTTTTAATCGGAGTATTGATATTCATAGTCAACGATTGTCGTAATCATGCTTATGCGGCAACTTGATATTTGAAGCATTAGTTTGTTATTTGAAACAACGGAATTACAGAAAATTAATATCTCAAATAATAAGCTACCATATAGGATTGACTATTGAGTCGCTAATTATGAGTAGCATTAAATAATCGGCAAAGTTTAGAACAATCAACTTTAATTTTCACCTAAATTTTGATAGATATTAATTCATCAATTAATGAATTCTATCTAGATGAATAAGGATGTACCTTGTCAAATATGAGATGGAAAATTTAAATATACAAGTCAACATTGAAAATTCCCCCTCTTTTCCTACCATTGTAATTATCATTTCCACAATAATTGATTGGTGGCCTAAATCAAGATGCATTGTTTTTAATAGTTGATAAGTCTTCACAAGTCTTTGAATGAAAAAGACATAATCACAATTTCTTTGAAGTTCTTTCGCATCGCGTTCTTTAAAGGTGATCGAGCCACTTTTGTTTTCTAGTGATCATTTTATATCTTGACTCCAGATATACATCAAGAAGATAAGAGTGAGATACATGCATAAATATAGAGGGACAATTATGTGAAAGAAAAGAAAAATGGCGTGATCTTCAACAATTTTTGTACATGGATAGGAGAAATTTAAGCTCCCACACGAGTTTATAAATCGTACTCCCATTTTCAACAACAAATTAAAGCCAATTCTAACGTACCCTGAATGGTCCCTTTCTTTACTCAATAGATAACTTGCCTTGTGAACTAGTTGCCAACTTAGTGGTGGCAATCGAGTCGAGCGGCTCGTCGGCTCGGCTCGTACTGTAGCGGCCCACGAGCCGCTTGGGCTAATTAAAAAACGAGTCCGAGCATGAGCTGAGCAGGCCGGCTCGGTAGGAGAGCCGAGTCTGCNCGTTTTATAACGAGCCACGAGCTCGAGCTCGTGGGTAACGAGTCGAGCCAGCTCGGCTCGTTTGCCACCACTATGCCAACTTGTGCCAAATTAATCCCAAGTGGGTGGCCATTCACATCATGTGAATGCAAATGCCATTTCATAAATACATCATATGGTCATTCTGTGTACAACATACTGAAGATTCCTTATGAAAATACGTCGAACCTCAAGTCCTGCCTCGGTTTAGAATTTTCACGATCACAATACTGAAATAAGAATCCACCTTTATTCCCCTAATAAAGCCATGAAAATGGGCTAAAATGAGTTGAAGTGGAGAGAAAATTGATGAGAAAGAACTCATTAGCACAAGCGGTACAAATTATATATATCATTAGCATTACATAAAAGTTCATACATATTACGACATTAAAATCAACAGACGACAACGCACAAGATTCACGGTAACTAGAGCCACATATCTTAACATTTAGTATATCTATAACCTCAAAACGTAAAAGTCCATAGCTGCACACTTGTGTATACAAGAGAGAGCCTATGTTAAGCATTCACTTCACAGCCTGGCCTTCTACTTTGTCAGTTTTTACTGACTCAGATGCATTACCACCAATCCTAAGGTTACCTAGCAAAGCATCGCGTCCTGTTAGAACAATTTTGAAGAAAATATCAACGTCCTTTGAAAGTAGATCTAGTCCTTGTGAAAGTTTCTCTTCCGACTTCCCTAAAACTGATCTCTGGTTCTGCAACATCTCAGCTTCCATAGGGTCAACCTCATTTTGTACAATGGGGTATAATTTTTTGACACTTGCATCAACTGCTTCTAGCTCTTTCAAAACAGTGACCCTTCCGCTTGAGTATATGCTTCTTATTTCAGTATTTACAAAAGTCTGCAGACCAGTAAAACCCTCTGCCCAGAAGCATGTATCAGGAACCTGTAGATCAATCAACTTCTTTGCTGAACCGGAGAATGCAGCAGCAAATATACTGCATACAAAAACTGTTACCACTTTGACTCCATACATAGCTCGCATCAAAACCTTTCCCTTTGCAGAGTTCTTAATCTTCGGTAGGTCTAGCGTTTTAGCAAGACCATCAATGATGGAAAAACACTTCTCAAGTCTTGGGTTCTTTAAACTAATATGATTCCTCCATCCGTCCAGTGATGAGAGTGCCCGCACAAACTTCTTTGAGTCACCACTCAAGTTATGCAAGGCACATTGAAGAAATAGATGGCCTTGGTTGAGTCGAGAGATTTCAGAGGTGAAAGCATTGCAAATATCCAGCAACTTCACACTATTATCAAAGTAAACATCAGTCCATTTATCATCCCAATCACAGACAGGCAGTTCAAGAGCTGTGATAAGCATCTTTATATCAGTATGAATTCCACAAAGGGACTCGATAGCAAATCTCATCCACGATAAGCTTAGGACATCTTCCCTGTCTCTCGGCTTAAGCTTTTTAAGCCTCTCTGCCAATGTCTCCTCAAAAGTATTCAACAGAGCGAGAAGCTTTGGACACAGATAAGAGCCCTTAGGTACTAGCATTCGGAAGGGATTTCCAAACGGGAGAAAAGGCCTGTGGGGATCCTGTGGACGACTCATTGAATGTAAAAGCTGCAACAATTGAAAGAACCACATTAAATGTAAGACACAAAAGAATGCATGACACAGTAAAATATAGAAGTTCTAAGGAGGGAGGCTGGTAGGGGCAAGGAAACCTTGCAACCAAGCATTTCAAAGTATTCCAAAATCCTATCTCATGGAAAGTGCTTGGAAGCATACCAAAAGATGTCCCGACTAAGTCTAATAAAATGAAAATTAATTCAAGGACACAACTTTTGACATATAATTATCTTTGATTTGGTTTACAAAATGTTTTTCTAGTTATATATTAACAAGATACCATAACATGTACCCGTCTCCTAAATCCTTATCACACGTAAATAACAGATGAATAGGTTAAGGAATAGGTTAAGTTATTTTAAACAATCTGAAATTTCTAGTAGTTTGAATTTATACAAGATACCGCAGCCCAAAAGAGTTTTCAGAGCTTTGAATTTCAGGAGATATCACAGTCCAAAAGTTCTGAATTTCCCTTTTCCTTTTCATTCAAGAAGTGTGAAATCCAAAGAGAAACCATTTCCTCATCAAAAAATTTTCTTATGCAAATTTTTTAACCCAACTAAGCCCAACAACCCTAATTCAAGAAAATTTACAGCTGAAACAGAACTCTCTCTGATCATATCTCCAAAATTATGCCGGTATCTATTGGATCCACCAAGACTTTTCCTTCCAGGAAAACAAAAAAAAAAAACTAAAACCACAAGAAGAAATGAAAAATTCCATCAAATCTAATTCAAAGAACATAGCTGTATTACATGTGAAAATTTAGAAAGAACAAAAAAAATAATAATAATAACTAACAACAAAAACCACCCTAAAATAAAAATAAAATCCTTATTTTTATCAAAAATTCATATCTTCACTACAATTTTCACAGATCTAAAACATAACGAACAGATTATGCAACAAAAATTCAATTTAATGAGAAAAATTATAAACAAGAATAAAAATTAAACAATAATCTTCAAAACTACTCACCAAATATCAGATCAAATATCAGATCTTTGCCGATTCAAACTGTCAACGCCCAAAATTCGATCCGATAATAAAAATTAAACTCGGAAATCGAAAGTCAAATCCTATGTTCTAACAAACATATTACACGAACGGCGAAAATACATAAACAGCTGCACGTATATATTTATATGTAAAATAAATGGAAGGTTGCGGGCCGTACCTGGAAGGGTACTCGCAGACGCGTATAGAATTGGGACTTTCCTGGAAAGTATACGCAAATTAGGGTTTACTCTGGGGAACAAGAAGAAAAGAGTTGATAAATTCACCTTTCTATTTTCGGGATATAAGTTTTAGGTTTATTTTATGTTAGTTACCAAATTTTAATTTCTTTCAATTTGATCCTCAACTTTATATTTTTATTTCAATTTAATTATTCAATTTATATTTAATATTTTTATTTTACTATTCTCTCTACCAAAATTTGTGGATAAATTTGTGGCCTAGCAGGTGGGATCTATAGCTGGCTAACAGAGCACATGTTATTTTTCTCTAGTATGGAATGACAACGAGCACGAGCAGCGATTCAGAGGGTATGAAATTTTTGGGAAGTGGGCGGGGGCTAGGATTTTCATATTTCTCACTCCGTTTACTTATTTATTGATTTTTTAACATTAATTTCATCTAAATTTACATAAGCCCCCGTTAAAATTATGGATTATGCTAAATGTACATAATCATTTACACAATCCTTTACACCCCTCTCACATGGAGGAGGGCCCACACACAATAAAATATTCGTGTGCCCCCTTCCATGTGAGAATGGTGTAAAAGATTGTGTAAACCATGAAGTGTACATGTAGCACAATCCTAAAATTATAATCAATTTTTTTCTCTTCTTATCGACCACACGTTCTCCAATAAAATAATATTACACATAAATTCAAAATTTATTAATCTTTTTTAATCACACATTCTTTCTAAAAAAACCATTCAAAAATTTATAATTTGAAATAATGTGGAACAAACGAAAGCTAAATAAAACGTAAAAGTTGGGACGAGTTTCATGTTCCTGTCATTACCTCGATTCACAGTCGAGAGTGGCAATCTACTTATTGGGGACAAGTGAAGTAGGAACATTTATCATCCCTAAAAATGAAGACTTGCCATTTTTAGAAAAAAATAAATAGACATTTGTATTGTTTTAGTAGTCGAAAAAAATGTATTACCAAGTATATATAAGTTTGATAAGTCATATAAACATTGTCAAATTAAAATACATAATACAAGTTGAGTGATCAAATTGAAACTACAATTAAAATTGATGACCAATATGAAAATAGTCAGCAAAATCAGACCGTGAATATCTTGATGAGGTCAGATCAATGCGTGTTTGTTGGGAAAACTAGTCAGACGCACGTGCATTGCACGTGCTATCAGCGTAATTGACTACTTAATAGCTTAGTTGTAAAAGAAAAAATCAAAATAATTCACTTCATAAAAGATGTTTGTCCACCAACACTGTATGATGTAGGACGATTCTT